TACTTCAAATCTAAGTATAGTGTCTGCCTGATTAATATGCCTTATTACATCCCAGAGTTTCCTTTTAAGGAGGAGCATTTAGAATGAACTTTTAAAGACATATGAAAGGGCAAGTTCCATCAAAAGCCATTGGAGTCATGTGTGTGCACGCACATGTGTGCACGTGTGTCTCTAAAATATAAATATGGTTTATATATAAAATATATATAAAGTATAAAATAAATGTATGTGTTATGTAGACTCATATATACTAATATATTAACATTAAAGTTAGAACAATGTATGAGGGGCTTTTAAATTAACATTTGTTGACAGATGTTTATCAATATTTCTGCAAAATGTCAGTGACGCTTATTGGAAGGCATTGTTTTTAGCACAGAGAGACTATTATCTGTTCCCAGTTGCTTGACTTGTTCATTGTGTAATACTCAATAAATTACTTGCTATCCATCCCCCCTACCCATAACCATCCCCCACCTCTTAATCTATGAAATGGGTAGTAATAATTGACTGCAAAAATGTTTAAGAACTTCATATGGAAAAGTCTGCACTAAATACATAAATATAGTAAATGTATTTTGCCATTATGAATAATAAATTCTGTTTTCAATGTTGTCATTGTCCTAACTTGACATTTTTTCCTTTCATAAAATTTGAGTCATTAATTCTCTTTTTATAATTTCTGATATATATGCATAAGTACTTTTCTGTTCTGTGGTGAACTATATGAAGAAAGGAATGTTTTTAAATGCATGGTATATGTCATGGTATTATACTACAGTGATATAATTCAGTGAAATTTTAAAAATTTAATTGCAACATGTATAGAAACATGGAAAGCTTAGTGTTTGTCACTGTCATCTTTTCTTTCTGAGGCTTTTATAACCACCCTAAAGGTCCTTTCAGTCCACTGAAACAATAAAAAAGGGGGAAAGTTCTTTATTATAGAAGTTGTAAAAGAAAATAGAGATCTTACACTAGAATGATATTTGCAAGTAACAATGGGTACTTTTGAAGGTATTTATAAAAGACGAGGCATCATTGCAAGAAAATAGATCCTAACATATTAGAAAAAACAGATGATGTTCATTTGAGAATTCTAAAGAATTTAAGGATATAGGTATGTGATCTACTAACAAAAAATGAGCATGTCTCATTAAAAGATACCTTGAAGGAAAAAAGCAGTTGATAGAAATTGAATCCATCTTTTTAAGTGTTGCTAATATTATATATTTATAGAACATATTGGCATGAACTAAAAATAATCACTGTAATCAGAACCACAAAATTTGTAATGATGAAATAAAGAGGGAGTAATCACATTTCCTAAGATGAAAAATTATGTTTCTCTCATTTTGAAAAATTTATAATAAACAAAATTGTTCACATTATATGTATCTGGACAGTGACACCTTATAGATAAATACATTTAAAGTTTTATATATTGCACACAAGTAAATTAATTTTATACATTTAAAATAAAAGATGTAACTTGTTTTATATCTCAACATTTTATATATTTAAGTTTTTGTCAAAATAAGTACAAATAGATGTCTTTGATTTGCATAGTTTAACTAATATTAAAAATTATTAAAATACCAAAATATCTGGTTTACACTACAGTTCACAAAAAAACAAAATATTGATCATTAGAACCTGAAGATAATTAAAAGAAACCCTTCAATGACATGTGGTAAGTTCAGTTAATGAAAAGGGCAAAATTCAGATACTAAAGTTAGAAGCTATGCATAGCAGACAGAAGCGGTAGTTATCTGAGCACCAGCTACTTAGGAGTTAATTTTTTGATTCTATGGACACCTCTCTGCTGTGATATAGTGGTGGCGGAATAAATAGACAAATAAAATTCCTCCTGATTAAAAGAAATAATGACCAGTACCATGTCTTTTTTGCATCTTATTTTCAGGGAACTCATTTGATCTCAAATCATTTTTAAGACTTTTTTGTCTTTAGATTTCTATGAAAATACAGCGAAGGTTCTTATAAAGCTGGGGTTTCAGAAAAGGTGAGATGCTCATACCATAGACTTTTATGTTGTAGTGAGAGAGATATATTGCACACTAGAGGCATGGCATAAAAATAACAGCATTTTTAGGTGTAGGGATTTTTCTCATGTGTTTGGAAATTGTTCAGAGTTAAATAGAATAAACTGTTTGCCATCCTGCAGGTTGTATTGTATGGGATAACACTTTTCAAAGAATTACACCAGAAATGCACTTATCTGTGTGAATTTAACCTACCTTTGATAATTCAGAAGGTACCTTGTAAATTTTTGGTACATTTGAATTAATATGAACCTTCATTACCACTATAATTAAGACATGCAGAGACATTAAATAGTAGAGACTTCTGATGAGACAGTTGCCATATCAACTAAGAGGAGTTAGTAACTGTGTGCAGACATTCCATTCTTGTCTCCCTACAGTGCCAGTGTTACTGTTTCCAAGTCTGATACCTTCATTTTCATAAAGAAAAATTCCCAAATTCAAAAGTAAGCGAATTTCTTTGAATATCAATTTTTCAAACCTCTGCGTTTTCCTAGTTTTATTTGTAAGACTACGTGAGTTCCTCCCAGTGTTCATCGTCACAACTCCCTATTTGCTAATTTCCAAAGAAATTCATCAGGTTGCTCAAAATATAGATGGAGAAGTAAGTGGACACTGATACAAAACAGAGAAAGAGTGATCATTCTGAGTCTCACCTTTGACACCGAGTAGACACATGCCACTGATGTCATTTGACCCTCAGTCCTGGGACTCTCTTAGGCTCAGCACACAACAGGTGGGGGCCAATATTCTTTAAAAAGGAAAACTCTACCTTACAGTTTCTATCAGAGTTTTTAGTCTTTTTATACACAGTCCTTTGGGTCTTATTCATAGTTTGTCCCCCCTTTTAAAAAAAGATAACCTTATTTCCTTTAGCCAATGGGTTTCCAAAAGCACGTTTGTTCTTCTTGACTGATATTAACAGGCCAGTGTAAACCCTAGAAACTTCAGATATTTGCAAAATATATCCATTTCTATTTCATATCACTTTTCCTATAACGGTAGAACTTCACATTATTTTAATAGTTCTTTCTTAGGTTATCTATATAGTATTATTCGTTGAGGGTATTTAAACCCCTCCTCTTTATGCTCCGTGTGATAACTTTGCTGTTTTGTTGTTTTCATATCCTGCCCTTGTCTGAGGCGTTGCTTTGTCTTTTCCTTTTCAGGGGAACCGACCCCCTCCGACTATCATTCAAAATGAGGAAGATGAAACCTAAAAT